CCAGGGCCCTGCCCCATAGCAGCACCCCAGCCTCTGCCGTGGGGAGACCTTGCCTCCCCCGGCTCCTCTCCCTGCCTCCCTGCCCAGCGGGGATGTCTCTCCCGCTCCCAAATCCAGCCCCGTCTCAAACCTTGTCCGTGACCTTGGAAAATCCCTCCCTCCTTTCCCGTGCCTTGTTTTTCCCTAGGAAGGGCCAGGCTGAGCGGGTGTCCGGGGGGTAAATGTGGGGGTCGCAGTGGGGAGAGGTGCTGGGGTCTGCTCCTTGGGTGGGCAGAGCCACAAAAATACCAATATCAGCAGACGATGCCTGGGAGCACAGTGTGTGCACGGGGATGGCCACAGGAGCCTTGCAGCACTGAATATTATTAATAGGTAACTATTTTGGTAGTTAATAGGATAAAGTAAATGCTTGGATCGTTAGTGCAGTGACAAATTACTCGCTAATTACAAATAAAGACCTCCTTGGGAAGCATTACAGCCAACACAAACCCGACTTTTGTCCTGAAAAGCTGTGCTTGGTGCTTTTTTTTTTAAAAAAAAAATTTTAATCTGGAATCGGTTGCACAGCTGGCTGGCACATCTGCGGTGCCGGGGGTTAACCAGGGCACTGCGGGGTGGAGATGCTGATCCTTGGCAGCCTGTCCTCCTGCAGGGCTCCCCCTCTTCCAGGGTTTCAAGGCCTTTGTCACCTTGATGCCAGCTGAGGCTGGACCACCCATTCTGGGAGTTTGCTCTCTGCAGGGGCTGCAGCTCCGTGTGCTAAAGGATTTTGCCCTGGGATTGCTGCTTTTTTAGGGGCTCTTGAAATATCTGGGCACCAAGGAGGGTGCCAGTCCTTTGCCTTGCTCTGGGGGAGCAAATGCACCCAGCTGAGCTCTTCCAAACTCATTTCAGCTGGCAGAGGACGCTGGGCTGATACTTAATTCAGGCTTTAAGGAGGAACCCAGGGCTTTCAGGTGTGCTCAGCCAGGCTGGTCTGGGCAGAGCTGAGGGGGATGGTCCTGTTGCTGCCCCAGCCCTTGGGGAGAGGGGCAGGAGGTGCCCAGGTGACACGGCCATCTGCAGTGGGACGAGGGCAGGCTAGGGACTGTGGGAGATTATGGCTGGTTTGCTTTTAATCTGAGAGGGGATTTGCCTCCAGCGCTGCCGGCAGCTGAGAGAGAGGCAGGGGAGGACGTGCCAGGCAGAGGAGCTGGTTCCTCCGTGGTGGCAGCACTTCTCTCACCTCAAATGTCACCTGGAAACAGCCACTGGCTTTGGAAACCGTGGCCCTGGGGGAGTTCCAGGGGACCCTGGGGCATTTCTCTCTCTCTGCAGAGGTGGCTTTGGCTGTAGGCTCCCTCGGGATGTGCAGCCCATGGGAATAGGACAGCCATGTCCTGTCCCAGTCAAGCATCTCCCCTTCCCATCCTGGGGGTCCTATCCCCCCAAAGCAGGGTGCAAATGGGGTTAGTTAGAGCTGTATTTTGAAGCAAAGTGTGTATTTTACTTCATGGCTCTAGTCTCATGCTGGCAAAGGTGGTGGGGGGGGAGAGCGAGGAGGGGGGCTGTTTGATGGAGCTGGCTGCCTGGCTGGTGGGGTGACCACAGGGTCCCCAGGCTGGGGCAAGTCCCTGACTTTCAGCCCCTGTCCCTGGCTGAGGCTGGCACCGAGCTCCCCTGAGGCTTGTGGGAGGGGGCAGCACGAGCAGGGAACAGGCAGGATGGGGACAATGACACCTCCAGTCCTGGGGCACAGCCCCATGGTGGTGGCACCGCCACGGCACAGGGAGGAGCTGGGGGGGCTCCTGGGGCTGTGGTGGCTGGCACAGCAGCACCATGAACCGGGCTCTGGCTTCACCTCTGGCTGCCTGCTTTAGAGCTCTGAGTTAAGTAAGTCACAGCATGTGCCAGCTCACTGGCCATGGGATGCCCTAGGGCAGAAGCACCCGGTGCCTTTTACCCAGCTCTGGCTTTGCCCAGGCAGTGCTGTGCCCATCACAGCACCCGCTGCCACGGGGTGTCCCCATGGAGGACCCCAGGCTGTGCAAAACCTGGCGTTTCCCGGCAGTGCTGTGCCCATCACAGCACCCGCTGCCACGGGGTGTCCCCATGGAGGACCCCAGGCTGTGCAAAACCCGGCGTTTCCCTCACCTGGGCTGAAAACGAGCTTTTTTTTTAATCTCAGTCACTTTGGAGAGCGGGGCTGAAACATCAGGGCTCTTTCCTTCGAGAGCCAGAGGCTGCGTTTCCAGAGCTGAGCCCAGCAGGTCAGCCATGGCTCGGGGGACAATGCACGATGTGTGCCAGAGCCACGGGCACAGCCACAGCACGCACCCAGGCTCTGCACCCACAGGGTCCTCACCGGTCTCGGGGCATCTGGGCAAGGTGGCATCTCTGGTGCTCATGGAGAAAAGGGGCTGACAGCATCATGGGCACCAGCTGGCGCTGGGTACATCCTGTGTGACAGTGCCGATGGGCACACAGGGCACGCTTTGTTTGCCAAGAACCTCGGGCAATTTTGGTTTATTCCTCCTTTCCAGCAGCCGCCCTGTGCAGCCCTTCCCGCACGCTCGCTGGGCCTCTGAAGTTGAAGATCTCATTAAAGCCTGGCTTTCCCTGGGCGACCTGACCGTCCTTGACTGGCTTTCCTTCCCTGGGGGCAGGCGTTGGTTAAGGATTTATAATTAGCTGATAATAAGGTGGCTGTGGCTGGAAAGGTGCTTCTTTCCTCTGCCACCCAGCCGTGCCCGGCCAGCACCGGCACCCGGCAGGGCTGGCACGTTCCTGCTGACACCCTGGGCTTTTTTCATGCCATTGCTTCCTGGGGCAGAGCCTGGCATGACTCAAGGGTTTAGTGGAAAAGTTTTTGGAGGACTTTCTCCTGGGAATGAGCACAGTGCAGCCCCACCAGGTGCCACCAAACCACGGCTGGGGCCGGCGCAGGCAGCCTGTGCTCCATTTTCCAGCTTTCCCCCAGCGCTGGCAAAGCTTTTCTGCAGGTTTAAATACCATTTTTTTTTTTCCATCTCTTGCTCTCGCCCCACGTCGGTGCCAGGAAAAGCTCTGGATGGCCCCAATTCTCCCCAGCCGTGCTGCTGCAGACAGCTCCGAAGGCACTTTGCTCTTAGGTTGTTGGTTGGTTTTTTTTTTTTTTGGTTGTTTTTGTTTCACGTGGCTGCGTCCTTCACCAGGGAGCTGCCTATAAATTATGTACGTGGAAAATGGGACCAGAAAGCAGCAGGCATCAATAATTGATGGTCGACTTTTCCTAACAGGCGCGCTGCATCCGGGCATCCCTGCGCCGCGGGGCCCTGGGGTGAAGCTGTGTGGCCCCGCTCGTCCCGCCTGCCCCGGCGTTAGGTCCCCTCTGCTCCTCCCCTGTGGGCTTTGGGCTTGGTTTTGGTTTTTAAATATAGTAGGAAGGCTTGATCAGGCCCTGGGCAGTCACTGCGTCTGCTGGAAGCCAACGACAAGCTCTGATATCGGTCCCCACAAGCAGAGCTGCAGCCCAGGCTTGAGCTCCTTTGAGCTGGGCACCCTAAAGGTTTAGTTTTGGGGTGTCCCCAGGGGGGCTCTGTGCTGTTGGGTTTGGGGTTTTGCAAGCTGGACCCCATCCCTGTAGCTGGTGGGATGCAGGATGCCATGTCCATCCTCCATCCTTTGTCTCTCCTGACTCCAGGTGCTCCTCACCCCTCACCATCCCCTTTCACCTCCTCCTTTCCCTTCCTTTTCCCACCTCTAAGGAGAAATCCCGACCTCCTTGCCCCCAGATCTCATGGACAAGGAGCAGCCATGAGTGCCTCCATCCTTTGTCTCTCCTGACTCCAGGTGCTCCTGCTCACCCCTCACCATCCCCTTTCACCTCCTCCTTTCCCTTCCTTTTCCCACCTCTAAGGAGAAATCCCGACCTTCTTGCCCCCAGATCTCATGGACAAGGAGCAGGCACAAGCAGGCTCCTGGCCAGGCTGGGAGGAAATTCTCTCTTCTAGTTGAGAGGTGCCTGACCTGGGGGCTGCTGCCAGCCTGGGGGACAGGACATGCCGGTGTTTCAGCTCCCTGCTTTATCCTGCCAGGGAAGAAGGGGCACTGTTTGTTGCCTGGCATTCATCAGGGCAAGGTGGAGTGCTTTCTGGAGAGGTTGCTGACCTTCTAGAGTGTCTGCAGGCTCTCAAAACCCTCCCTCCTGCACTTGAGCCCTTCCGAGGGGAGGCTGCAGGCTGAGAGCGGACAGAACTCAGTTCAGTTGTGCCTCGTACACCTTCCCAGCGGAGGCTGCAAACCTGGGTGGGTGTCTGCCCGTAGCCATGCTGCCTCGAATGGCACACGAGGTGTGTGATGTGGGGTTTTGGGCAGGAGGAACCCTGCCCGTATCAAGGGCTGGTCCGTGCTGCCCCTTCCCCTGCAGCATCTCTGGGGGATGCAGGAGCCAGCCCAGCTCTGGCAGAACAGGCTGTGCCCGCTGCCTCTCCTGCCTCCTCGGGGAAATTAGCTGGTGTTTATGCAAAGGATTAGCACAGCTCTCCCCCTCGGCCGCCCCAGGAGCCATCATCTCCCCTTCCCACTCCCTGACTGGGATTCGGCCGCCCCTGGATGGTCCAAGGTCGGGGTGACCTTGGGTGGCTCACAGGGATTTCCCGGGCAGGGATAGGGGAGCAGGCACAGGGAGGGGGGCAGCCCAAACCCCAGGGGGTGAATCTGTGTCCTTTAAATCCCGCTGAACGGAGCGACCCCCGCGCTGCTGTGGGGCTGGACCCACACTCCGACCTCTCCCCATGGCGGTGACCGGGCAGGGACAGGGTTGGTGGCAGGGAGGGGGCTCAGGCAGGGAAAGGGGGGGGCAAGACAGGCAGAAGGAAGCCAGGAAGGGTCTTTTCTTGGCTGGCTCCCCCTTCACCTCTGCCTGCTTGGAGGCTGCCAGCACGTGAGCTCAGCCCAAAAGGCTCCCAGCGAGGTGACCTTGGGGACAAAGCCACTGGCAGACCCTGTCCTCCCCCTCCACTCAGGTGGCCTCTTGTGTTTTTTTTTCCTTTCCAGGGAGCTACTTTGCCAACCACTTCATCATGGGCGGCGAGAAGTTCGACTCCACGCACCCCGAGGGGTACCTCTTCGGCGAGAACAGCGACCTCAACTTCCTGGGGAACCGGCCCGTGGTGGTGGGCACCGGGGGCAGTGGGGCTGGGAGGGGGGAAGGCAAGAGGTGCCCCTGCCCAAAATGGGGCTGACTGTGTGTGTATCATGGGGGTGCATGGCATAAGGCTGCTGGCTGTTACCCCTCCAAGGGCAGAGCCAGCCAAGGAGACCCGAGTGGATTCTCTGATGTTGAATATAAGGGTTGGGTCCCCTGGGGACTAACCCATGTGAATGCATATATATATAAAAAAATATATATAATTATATATATTAGATATATAATTTTTATATATATAAATACATATATAGAATAATACATAATTTATATATATTATTATGTATATTATATATATAATTTATATATATATATAGAATATATATTCTCATATATATGAGAAACGGCTGAGGGAGCTAGGACTGTTTAGTATGAGGAAGAGGAGGCTGAGGGGAGACCTCATCACTCTCTACAACTACTTGAAAGGACACTGTAGAGAGGTTGGTGCTGGTCTCTTCTCACAGGTAATTAGTGACAGAACGAGAGGGAACGGCTTCAAGCTCCAACAGGGTGGGTTTAGACTGAACATTAGGAAGGAATTTTTCATAGAAAGAGTGGTCGGGCATTGGAACAGGCTGCCCAGGGGGTGGTGCAGTCACCATCCCTGGATGTGTTTAAGATCTAAGATGTGGTGCTGAGGGATATGGTGTAGGGGAGGACTTTGTAGAGTAGGGTGGATGGTTGGACTCGATGATCCCAAGGGTCTCTTCCAACCTGAACGATTCTATGATTCTCTGTCTCCTGTGTGCCTGCCTCCACGCTGTGCACAGCAACATAATGTCATTCCCATATCTCTCACCTCGCTGCCAAACTTAAGCTGTGAGGGGTGAATAGGTTTGCAAGAGGTTGGGATTGGACCAAGTGTGATCTCCGTCTTTGGGTGCCACTCTCTGCACTACCCATGGTGTGGGTCATCAGACCCACAAGTATTTTCCAGTCCGCAGGGGCTGCTTGCGTGCCCAAACCCACTGTCGGGTGCCACTCTCTGCACTACCCATGGTGTGGGTCATCAGACCCACAAGTATTTTCCAGTCCGCAGGGGCTGTTTGCATGCCCAAACCCGCCAGTTTAAAAATCTCAGCTGGTGAAGAAGATGGTGATGGGCTGATTTAGCCCAACTCCTTCTTTCTTGCTCCCTTTCCAAGAGCTGCTTTTCCTCTTGCCCTTCCCAGCTCAGCCGGGAGCATCTCCCAGCTGAGATAGCACGGGGCTGGGGACATGCTGGAATGGTGCTGGCGTGGAGCAGAGCAGCTTGGACAGGAATGGGCAAAAGTATTCCCCAAGCTCTTGTAAAATAGGGGAAAAAAAATAAAAAATGGGTGGTGGTGGGTGGTGTGGGCAGCACCCATGGGTGTCATGGTGCTGGGTGCTGTCAGCTCCAGGTGGTCCCAGGGCATGGGGAAACCTGGCTGCAGGGGAGGTCCCCGGACCCCACGGTTCTGGAGATGGTTTTTCTGCTCGTTGCCTTTTGAAAGGGAGGAAATGAGAGCAGGGCCATCCCCAGGGGGAGGTTTGGTGGAGGGGGCCATGTCCCCCCCCCCTCCTTCCAGGTGCAGCTCAGCAGCATCACCCCGAGCAGTGGAGGGGTCGAGTGTTGGAACAAATTCAAGGTGAGGGATTAGAAGGCGGCAAAGCTTTTCAGTTGAGATGAGATAAATTTGGCTGGTGCTAATGGCCCTGCTCTCAAACGCTGCCTGCTGGGGCTGGCCAGGCTGCTGCCTTCCCGGCTTGTGTTTCCTCCTTGAGATGTGTCCTGGCAGCGTTGTGTGGTCCTTCGGTGGGGAAGCACCCAGCCCCAGGGCTGAGCCAGAGCGGGGATCCCAGCAGAGCCGTGGGCAGGAGCATCCCCCCCAAAACTCCTGAGCGTTGGGTGGGCAAAGCCAGCGCCTTCCCCTCCGTCCTCTGGGCTTCCCCAGAAAATGAAGAGTCAGCACTCGGGTTCTCTCTCCAGCAGCGAGCGCTGAGGAATCCTCTTGATTACACTAAAAGCCTCTAAACTGCCCAGCGAGCAGTTCCTGAGTCAGACGCCCCAACAGCAGAAGCAGCGGGGAAGGTAGAGGAACAGCTTGGAAACAGCAGAAAGAATTAATATAGCGTTGCAGAGTAAATTGCATTGCTCCGGCTTAATTACCAACGGCACTGGGCTGCAGAGCTGTGACTGAGGTCTCATCTCCCTGGGGAGACAGGGGCATTTCAGGGCAGTGCTTTTGAATCAGGACAGTTTAGGGGCTCAGGTTGGGGAGGACCCGTGTTGTTTCTGGTCCAAGCATCATTTGGGCATCTCTGATGCCGCCTCCAAGACCTGTCCTGGTGCTTCTTGGCTGCGATGCTTTCACATTCTGACCTGCTCTGAGAGCCCTGGCTGGGCTGGAAATGTCAGCCACGGCTGGTGTTTTTTGGTGGAGGATTTATTTGGGGTTTCTCTGGTGCTGAGGGCCAGGAGGTCTTGGAAAAATCGTGTCCTAAGTCCTCTCTGAGCTGAGCACCTCATCTGAGCTATGAACAGTGCTGCTGGCACGGGGATGTGCAGAGCACCCACAGGCTGTGCAGACTCTCCCCTCCACAGATACGGGATAATCTGGATTTTCCAGCTCGGGACTGGTTCCCAGGGGGCTGGGAAGGGTGTTGCAGATTTAAGGAGCTGCCACCTTGCTGGGACACCTCTGGAGGGGCCGAGGAGCCAAGAAGCTGTTTGTGGCACCTGGAGAGCATGGGGTGTTCTGGGGAAACCGGGGACTGTTGAAACGTGCCGCTGGGTTTCTGTGCCCACGCAAACCAGGCTGGGTCTGCTCATAGAAAAACCCCAAGAAAGATTTTTGAGGGTGGTTTTTTTCACCTTAACAGAAGCTGGTTTGGACCAAATGTCACTGTAGATGCATGGATGGTGTTTTAAAATGGGTAACGGTTGCAGTGAGGTGTTTTTTTTTTTTTCCTGTTGTTTTTCAGCTTGATTTAAATTGAAGAGAGGCAAAAAGTCCTTTCAACAGCCCCTTCTGATGTGCAAATCTGGCTGGCAAGATTTCATTAAAAAAAAAAAAGCCCAAAACCAACCCAAAAACCCCCAACCCCCTAAAAAAAGAGCCCACGTGTGGGCGTGAAAGTGCCCAACGGCGATGGCAAAGCGGTTTCTGTGGCAAGAAATTTGCCTGTGGCACTTCCCCATGGTGGGGGGGGACTGCCATACCCACTTCCCTCTCCATCGCCCACCCCTGGGTGCTGTGGTGGGAGGGGGCTTGCACCCAGGTGTGCCCTTCCTGCTGGGATAAGCTCTGTCACTTACAGGGGGATGGTTTGGGTACGGCTTGGCTGGGAAAAGGTGCAAAGGAGCCAGCCCAGATTGCTCTATTAATTTGAGTAGCAGAGGGTGTATCGTGACAGGGCTTGGCATGTCGTGACATGGCTCAGGTCCAGCTTGGAGGCCTTTTCTCACTTGCTCCCTTCCAGCCGCAAGGGATGATTCTGCAGGTGCCTGTGTAGGGCTTGTGACTCGTTAAAAAGCTCATTAATACTGGATTAATGACTCAGCTGCCCTTTTCCCCTCCCAGAGGGGAGGGAGGGGGTGGCAATTCCAAGGTGCCATGGATTTGTCTTCAAAGTGCCTTGTGCCATCGTCTGCCCTGGGTCCAGCTGAGCTGCCGGGTGGTGGGACCCAGTGGGTGATGCCCAGCTGGTGGAGGAGGAATGGGGCAGGTCTCTGCTTGGTCCTGAGAGAGCTGCCTGTCCCATCCCATCCTGCTGAGCCCTTCGTGGGTCCCCCAGCCCCATCCATCCTGCTCTGCAGAGCTTTGGGGACGGGGAAGGCGAGGATGGTTTTGGGGACGGGGAAGGTGAGGGTGGTTTTCCCACGTGAGGGCGCCAGGGACATGGGAAACGGGCACCTGGGTCCCTGCGGGGCGTCCCCAAGTGCCATCTGCAGTTGAGCCTTGTCCCCTCAGTATTGGGGTGCAGCAGGCTCCTCGCTGTCCCTGAGTGCTCCTTCCAGGCTGGGGGGAGCATAGGGGGAGGAAGGGACCCAGGCAGCCCTGCTTGGTTACTTGTTCCCTCTCCCAAGGCAGAAATTCAGCCCCTTTGGCTCTTGTGAGCATCTGCCATCCCTGGTGGCACCTGATGCCCTCCTGGCTCTGGCTGTCCCCTGGCACACGGTGACAGCTCGCACACGAGCCGGGCATTAATCCTGGTGTGAGCTTCTGACTGCATTGTCCACCCGCGGGGGCTGATCCCTTCCTGGGGCTCAACCTACCTGGGAGATGGAGAAGGGGGGAGATGGGTCCTGCATCCATTTCCCAGGGCTCTCAGTCTCCCTTGGGTGGCTGCAGTGCCAAGGAGAGGGTGTCCCCCAGCTGCCACCATGTCCCCTCTCCCCAGTAAGCCCTGTATCCCCTGCGCAGGTGGACAGGAAAGACCAGGAAGATCAAGGTCACCTTGGAGGATGGCATGACACCTCTCCCTTTGGAGCACTGCTGCCTGCCTGGTCCTGCCCAATCACCTCATAGATTCCCAGCTCCGGGCACGGCGCTGGCAGAGACCCCACCACCCAAATCCCATTTGTCACAGGGAGAAAACAGAGACATTTGTGTCTGTTTTTTGACTGTCTGGGCAGAGGGAGGCTGAAGCTCCCTCATCCAGCAGCTCCGTGCTGCATCAGCACCCTAAAAATACATCAGCAGCCGCCCACCTGCCCTGTGCCCTGCATCCCCCTCACCCTCCACCTGAAGGGACAAGTGACAGCCTCTCTCTGCATGTCCCCTCTGGTGAAACTGTCCCCTGCAAGGGGTTTGGGGCTTGTTCTTTGCGGGGGGATGTCCCTGTCACCGCACTGCCTGGTACCCAAGTGCCGGTGGGAGCTGTGGATGCTCAGCACCCCTCAGGATGCACAGACCACCCCGGGTCCCTGCATTCGGGGTGGTGGGTCGGGGTTGGGTCACCGTGGAATCTGGGGACAAGGTCTGCAGCCACTGTAAACCCCCCCCCCGGCCCCGACCTGCGTCTGCCTTCACCAGTGTCTCTCTCATCCTAGTTCCCTTACGCTGCTCCACCTCCTCAGGAACCCGTGAAGACCCTCAGGAGCTTAATCAACATCCGCAAGGACACCCTGCGCCTCGTCAAGTGAGTCCTGGGGTGTGTGGGGGGTGCAGAAATGGGGCTGGGCACCCCATGGCCATGAGCCACAGGGAGGGCAGGGTCCATCTGGATGCTCCCAGGGGACGCTGAGCAGGGGGATGCTCTCATCTCGGTACGGGTGGATAGAGGGGACGAGCCACTGCTGCCCAAATGTGCCCCCTCCCCTGCTGGCAGGGGTGAGCTCCCCGCATGCGGGCACCGGCTGCGCTGGCTCCGCCGCAGGATTAAAAGAGCTTAGTGCTGCCTTTGAAGTGCTTTGCTTTTCCTTCCTCCCCCCACCTTCCCGAGGCTTTGTCGGAGGGAGGCTGGGGATTGCGGCTGGGCAGGGAGATTTGGGATTACGGCTGGAATCTGCCTGCGGTGCTTCCCGGGCTGCAGGCTTGACCTTGGGCATGGCGTGCCCTCCTGGCGTGCCTCAGTTTCCCCCGATGGAGGGGGCAGCTCTTTTTGGTGCCACCAGTGCCGAGAGGGAACCTCTCACTGGAGGAGCTGTCTCTTTGGGGGGGACAGTCCTGGGGGCACCCTGAGCCCTCCCCGAGGGGTGCCCGTCTCCCCAACCCTCTGCGCTCCCCAGGTGCTCGGAGGAGGTGAAGACCCCAGGGGAGGAGGTCAGCAAATCCAAGGTGCACTACAATGTGGAGTTCACCTTCGACACGGACGCCCGCGTGGCCATAACCATCTACTACCAGGCAACCGAGGAGTTTCACAATGGGGTGGCGAGGTGAGGACCCCCAGCCTGGCGTGTGTCCCCCCAGCCAGGGCACGGGGCTCTGCTGGTGGAGATGGATCCTTTCTCTTCTCCAGAGCATCTCCCCTCCTTGGGGCAGGAGGCAGCCTGGAGAGGGCTTCCTCACCTCCCCTGGGTGCCACTGCTGGGTCCCTGTTCTCACCCTTCCCTGTCCCATCCTGCTTCTTCTTTTTACCTCCAAGTCAGATCTGATACCAGGAGGAATCATTGCCCCTCCTGGTCCTCACCAGGTTGGGTTTTTTTCATGTCCCATGCTGGCTGCCCTGGGGGTGTTTTAGCCCTGTGGATAAATTTAATTAGTTTTAGGACCTCTTGCCTTGTCCCCAAGAGACATCCAAGAGGGGAGGGCAGGAGTGACCTCCTCTCTCCCATCTTCCTGGCATCAATGTGAGCCTGGGGGTCGGGAGGAGCGTGGGGACAGCCACAGTGACCCTGACTCTGTCCTCTCTCCATGGGACAGTTACATCCCCAGGGACAACAGCCTGCAGTCGGAGACGGTGCACTACAAGCGGGGGGTGTGCCAGCAGTTCTGCGTGCCCTCCCACACCGTGGACCCCTCTGAGTGGAGCGAGGAGGAGGTGGGTCCCTGTTCCATCAACCGCGGGGTCGGGTACAATTACAAGACGCGGGATGAAGCCTCCATCACTGCTCCATCTCACCAAGCCTCTCCTCCTGTCTCTCCTCCAGCTGGGCTTCGACCTGGACCGGGAGGTGTACCCCATGGTGGTGCACGCGGTGGTGGATGAAGGAGAGGGTGAGGAGGGGGTTCCTGGCTGGGTTGGCCTTTCCCAGTTGGCCTTTTCCCAGCCCTTGTCCCAACTGAGCAGAGCCTCCTGTTTCTCCTTGCTGCCACCGTGGCCCTGCGTGTACCCTGAGCCCTGCCTGTCCCTTTGTGTCTTGCAGAGCACATCGGGCACTGCCATGTGCTGCTGGCCACCTTTGAGAAGGTAAGTGCCAAGCTGGGGCTGTCCTCCCCCCTCCTACGCCCTCGCCACTGGATGCAAGAACCTGGAGAAACCCTGCGGGGCTCGGGATGGTGCTGCTGGGCTGGGGTTATTTTGGAGCTGGGAATATCTCAGCTGGGAATATCCCCCAAATCCTTGATTTTAAACACCTGCTTTTGAGGCATTTGGTCTCAACATTCATCTTCCTCGCTCCAACAAGTCTCCAGCCTTGCAATGAGTGTGACATCCCACAGCGGGGTACTGGGGTGGTGGGGGAAAAATCCAGAATTGCCACAAAATGGGTTGGTTGGGAGGGGTGACAGCTATGGGGTGGGTGCGTGCTCAGCCTGGGTGCCCACCTGTGTGTGCTCTCCTCCCTCCAGCACAGCGACGGCACCTTCTGCGTGAAGCCCCTCAAGCAGAAGCAAGTGGTGAGTGGCCGGGTGACAGCTACCACCCAGCACAACCCCGGGCCGGGGGGGAAGGTGGTGAGGGGTCTTTTGGGGAGCAGCAGACCTCAGTGTGGGCAGCAGCCAGCCCCTGCCCTCCTCCTGCCCCCCAGAGAGCTTGGGGACCCCCGGCCATTTGAAGTACATGGATGCAAAGAGAAACCGTGGATGTTGGGATGAGGGGGGGCTGGCCCAAGGAAGGGGCTGGGAGGTGGGGGGGCCATGTCTCCGTTCCTCACCCTTTCCCCATGGTGCTGCAGGTGGATGGTGTGAGCTACCTCCTGCAGGAGATCTACGGCATCGAGAACAAGTACAACACGCAAGACTCCAAGGTACACACCCCCATTCCACAGCCTCCCCCCCTGCCCCAAGCCTGCACCCTGGGGGTCTCCCCTTGTCCCCCCTCCCCTTCCCCTAGCACAGGTCCAGCAGCTAAAACACACAAGGGGAAAGAGTTTGCAGCAAAACATGGAGCTGCACGGGGCTGGGCAGGTGCTTTGTGTTGGCATCGAAGCTGCCAGAGGCAGAAAGCTGAAGGATTGAGCCTTTTTCCCCATCTTTTGTGGTCCCTTGGGAGCGTGATGGCTGGATCTTGCTGGCTTAGGAGAACACTGTGGGGCTTGAAGCATAGCACATGCCTCCTCCCCTGCTCTGTATATATATATTTGTAGGTATGAAGAAGTTGGGGTGAAGGGTGCATCCCTCCATGGGGTGCGTGATGGCTCCATCCCCATCCCCCAGCCTCTGGGAGGGAAGGCATAAGGTCCCAGGCTTGTATTTCAAGAGCAGGCAGCCCAGGGGCACAGGCAGGACCCCACAGCAAGCTCTTGGGGGGCACCCAGCCATTATTTTAGGGCACCCACCCTTATCCTATGCGGGCTGGGGGACCCTGAGGCCGAGTGGTTTCCCTCTCTCCCGTGGGGCAGGTGGCCGAGGACGAGGTGAGCGACAACAGCGCCGAGTGCGTCGTCTGCCTCTCCGATGTCCGCGACACCCTCATCCTGCCCTGCCGCCACCTCTGCCTCTGCAACACCTGCGCTGACACCTTCAGGCAGCCCAGGGGCACAGGCAGGACCCCGCAGCAAGCTCCTGGGGGGCACCCAGCCAGTGTTTTAGGGCACCCACCCTTATCCTATGCGCGCTGGGGGACCCTGAGGCCGAGTGGTTTCCATCTCTCCCGTGGGGCAGGTGGCCGAGGACGAGGTGAGCGATAACAGCGCCGAGTGTGTCGTCTGCCTCTCCGATGTCCGCGACACCCTCATCCTGCCCTGCCGCCACCTCTGCCTCTGCAACACCTGCGCTGACACCTTGCGCTACCAGGCCAACAACTGCCCCATCTGCAGGCTGCGTGAGGACCGGGGGGGCTGGCATCTCTTTTTGGGGGGGTGGTGGTAGCTGGCATCTCCAAAGGGGGCTGGGATTTCTGGGGAGGGGTGGTGGTTGGCATCTCCAGAGGGGGCTGGCATCTCAGGGGTGGGAGTTGGTTGGCATCTCCAGGGGGGTCTGACATCCCTGGAGGGATGCCTGGCATTCCTGGGAGGGAACATTCAGCCTGGAGAAGAGGAGGCTGAGGGGAGACCTTCTTGCTCTCTACAACTCCCTGAAAGGAGGGTGTAGAGAGGTGGGGGTCGGTCTCTTCTCCCAAGTCACAGGCGACAGGACGAGAGGAAATGGCCTCAAGTTACACCAGGGGAGGTTCAGGCCGGATATTAGGAAAAAAATTTTCACCGAAAGGATTCTCAGCCATTGGAATGGGCTGCCCAGGGAGGTGGTTGAGGCCCCATCCCTGGAGGTGTTCAAAAGCCGGGTTGATGTAGTGCTGGGAGGTATGGTTTAGTGATGGTGGTGCTTCTTGTGTGTCTTGGGTGTCTATTTTTGTCAAAATTAGGTTGACGGTTGGACAAGATGATCTTTAAGGTCCCTTCCAACCTAGAAGATTCTGTGATTCTGTGAACTGGCATCTCCCATCCTTGAGTTTTGGGGTCCCTTCATCCCCACATACAGCGACTCCATGCCCCAAATGGGAAATGGGATGGCATTTTTGGGCGAGAGGGTGTCTCCTTTCAGTGCCTAGTTTTCACCCCACCCTTCCCCACCGCAGCTTTCCGAGCCTTGCTTCAAATCCGAGCCATGAGGAAAAAGCTGGGTCCCCTCTCGCCCACCAGCTTCAACCCCATCATTGCCTCGCAGACCTCCGACTCCGAGGAGCACTCGGTCAGTGCCCGGCCGAGCCCGGCCCCCTCCACCCCACTGAGGTGGAACCGGGGAGATTTGGGGATGTGTGTGCTTCCTGGGGATGTGATTTATTTTTTAATTCTAGTTGATCTTGCAAAGAAATGCAAGTTTGATACTGCAAAAAAAAAAAGGGGCTTTCGTGCCTCGCAGACCTCCGACTCCGAGGAGCACTCGGTCAGTGCCCGGCCGAGCCCGGCCCCCTCCACCCCACTGAGGTGGAACCGGGGAGATTTGGGGATGCGTGTGCTTCTGGGGGATGTGATTTATTTTTTAATTCAAGTTGCTCTTGCAAAGAAATGCAAGTTTGGTAGTGCAAAAATGGGGCTTTCAGTTGGGTGGAAAGACCATGGATTTGGGGCTTTCATCGGTGCAAGGAGTTTGGTTTGTCCGTTCTCTGGGTTTTGTCTTCTCCCTGGGGCATCCTGATCGTGCTGGGAGCAGGGGCAGGGGTGGGCAATGGCCCGAGGGGACCCTCACCCTTTCTCCCCCCTCTCCCCAGTCCTCGGAGAACATTCCCCCGGGCTATGAGGTGGTGTCGCTGCTGGAGGCCCTCAATGGACCACTGACGCCCTCGCCAGCCCCCCTGCCACTCCGTGCCCTGGGGGACCCCCCGGGTGCGGGGACCCTGCCCTCCTACGGCAGCGATGGCCACCTGCCCCCCCTGCGGGCCCTGTCCCCCCTCGATCGCCTCCCCGAGTGCGGCCCCCCAGGGCTCAAGCTGAAGAAGAGCCTCTCCAAGTGAGTACCAGGGTGGGCATGGGGGCTCGGGGGGGTTTTGGGGCTGCGGGCAAGGGTGAAGCCCTCTTGTTTTGCCCCCACTGTGCAGGTCCATCTCGCAGAATTCCTCCATCCTGGCCGAGGAGGAGGAGGAGAAGTCGTGCACTGAGTCGGAGCTGAGGGTCTCCAGGAGGAGATCCCCTGCCCGGCGTGAGGAGGTGAGCGCTCTCTGAAACGTGCTGGTGATGAGCCAAGGTGGGACCAGAAGGTCTGCTGGGGTTTGTCCCTCCTGGCTCTTCCTCCATCCATAAGGATGCCTGAGGGAGATGGATCCATCCCAGCCAAATATCCCCCATCCCATCCTCCCCGTGGGGTCTTCCAGGGATGCGGTGCGACGCCGGAGAGCGAAAACCTCACCCTGTCGTCGTCGGGAGCCATCGACCAGTCCTCCTGCACGGGGACCCCCCTCTCCTCCACCATCTCCTCCCCAGAAGGTACAACACAGTGGGGCTCCCAGTGCTGGCAAGGCAGGAGGGTGGGATCACGGTCTCAGATCTGTCCTGCTGTGGGGGACATGGAGGGGGTTTGTGTGGTCCCTTGGACATAGTGTAAAGCCCCGGGGTGTCACCCCTGCTTTGTCACCCCGTAGATGGTGGTGTGGGGGGCACTGATTGCCCCTGCTTCATCACCCCATAGACCCAGAGATGGGCACTGCGAGCCCCAGGGACCTGCTGCTGGCAGCTTTCCACCCATCCCACCTCTGTGTCGTGCAGCAGGTCCTTGCTCCATGCCCTGTTCCTCCTCATTAACCCCGTTTTCAATTAGCTGGCAGTGGGCTGGGGGGGTGTGGTTCCTGTGGCCCCACTCAGCCCCTGCTCTCCCTCAGAGCCCGTCAGCAGCAGCTTGGCTCAGTCCGTCATGTCCATGGCCTCCTCCCAGAGCCAGCACTCCCAGCTCAGCACCGACACCGTGTCCTCCATGTCCGGCTCCTACGTCGCTCCCGGCACGGAGGAGGAAGAGGAGGAGGAGGAAGGGGACATGCTCCCCTCACCCGCAGCTGCCAGTGGCACGGCCTCTGATGGAGAGGTAGGAGCTGGGGGGGGGTGTTGCTGATGATGCCCATTGCCCCCATGTCCAAGAGTTCCCCTTGGGATGTAACTTCTCCAAACCCACCGGCACCAGGTTTTTTGAGTTTTTTTTTTTTCCTTCCATCTTTCCCACTTTCTTCCTGCAGTCAACACCCGTGGAGTCCCTGGATATAAACTTCGTCAGCATCTCGGCCGAGGAGCGTGATGCCGAGGTAACCATCACTGCTCCACCAGGGGCTGGGAGCCGTGGGGACACCCAGCACCGTGGGGGGGACCCCGGTTGTGCCCAGCTCTGGCTGCCCGTGGAAGGGGAAGCTGGCATCCGTGTTCCCCTGGGGCTGGGCTGGGGATGGATGCAGTGGTGGGGCTGTCCCCTACCCAGGATCATCTTCCTGGTCCGTGGAAACCCCTGGGGACTGGGGAGATTCCCCCAAAGGGACAGCCCCCGGCACGGTGCTGGGACCCCGTGGGGCTACTGATGCTCACTGCCTCTCGCCTGTGCCACAGGGCAACGACGTGCTGGAGGAGGAGGACGCCTCTCCCACGCAGGAAGACGGTAAAAGGCTCCGGGTTGTTGTTGTCCCCTCTTTTTTTCAGTTCCCTGTCACCGGTTGGCAGCCGAGCGAGCGGCAGATGCTGTGCTGTCCCCAGTTCCCCTGCCTGCTGGCTGCCACCGGGGAGAGCCCTGGGTGACTCTGTGGGCACCGGGGCCGGGCAAGCATCTGTCATGGGTGGGTTGGACACCGTGGGCTGGGGGGAACCCACCGGGGACCCCCTGGTGAGCACAGTGCGGAGCACGAGGAGGTGACGGCTGGTGTGCAGGATCCAATGGTGTTTCCAGCAGGCCAAGTGGGAAAAAGGCTTCTCTGTGGTTTTCTCCTCACTAAGAAGGTCTCTCCTTGCATCTCTGAAAGTCTCCCCCTTGGGGACCCCTCTCTGGGCTGGTTCCCATAGGAAGGGGCTGCAAAACTGTTCCCTTTGAGATGCTTTTCTAATTTTTTTTGGGTCTGTCCTCAATGTGCTTTTGCAAGGCAACAGACATGCATTGAGGGCTCCTCTCGTCTCCTCCCATGGGCTCAAATAGGCAAGGAAGGATGTGGGCACCCATATGCCATCGGCTACCAGACGCCTTGGATTTCTTTTGGGTGACAGGGAGGCCCCCAGCATGCCCTCTCCCACCTTTGCAAGTCTCTGGTTAGCAAAAACATGCCAAAACCGTTCCCTTGACCAACCTGGACACTCAGTTGAGCTGGAAAGCAGGAACATCCATCCCCAAAACCTGGGTTCTGCCCTGTGGGGAGGCTCTTGCGGATGGGGAGACTCAAATGTGACAACTAGGGAGCAATCGGTGGCTGTGGTGGACATCCATGGGCATCCCAACAGCTCCGGGAGCAGGACAGCCCTTCTCCTTAGGACATGGTCCTGTGCCCGTTCCCAGCAGGGCTACTGGTTTATTTGGGAACATGCCTCCTGAGGCTTAGTCATCTGCATCTGATGGATGCAGGTAACAGCCTGGAGGGCTGATCTCTGGGACGGGTGATGCTAAGAAGCAGAGTTACCTCCCTCAGCCCCCGAAAGCCTCCATCCCCCCTGCAAAGCTTGGCTACGGCTTCTTTTGCCCCACGCATCCAGTTGCTGCCTCCTCCCGGCATCTCCGCGGCTCTCGCACGCGCGCCGATAGTGCCGGAGAGGCTCCGGTGGGAGGTGATGGGTACCTCCGTGGCCGTGATGGGTACCTCCATGGCCGTGATGGGTACCTCCGTGGTCATGATGAGTACCTCTGTGGCCATGATGGGTACTTCCGTGGCCGGGGACCCCTCGGCTGTGCCGGGACGGAGAAGGTTTGGTTGAACCCCAGGCAGGCGGTGGGGGAACAAGCAGGTCCACGCGTGCCCGGTGCCCATCGTCGCTGTTTCGCTGCTCTCCGATGCGAGGAAAGGGAGCAGCTCGGACCGTGCCCTCGTTATTGTCCGCTCTTCACCCGCTCCTTTCTAGATGAATCATTTTTTTAAATTTTTTTTTTAATTTTTTTTTTTTGGAAAAGAGGGTGGGGAGGGGAGAGGAAAGGACCCAGAAAGCCCCCACACCCCCCACTGCTTAAAAGGCAACGGCAAGCCCCAGCGCCGAGCCGCGGCGTTAACTGCCTTAACTCCCTTCCAGGCCCGAGGACAGGCGCTTTCCTCGGTCTGAGGTGTGACAATAACAATGACTTGGGCATCGCACACGTGAAAGCGCTGGACAATAAACTGTGCTCTGAGGCCTGCTTACCTGGTGAGTGGCCGTCTGCTGAACATGAACTTGGGGTGGCGGGGGGGGGAACGGTTCCACTCTTCCCTGCTTCACCCCAGCATCCCTTTGCATCCATCCCTCCTCTCCCAACCCCCAACATCTCCTCCCCCATCCCCATCACCATCCCCATCACATCGTCCTCACTGCACCCACCACCACCTGTCCCACCATGGGGCTGAGCACCAGGCACGTCACCACCCAGCAGCTGTAGGTCAGGGTGACCTGTCCCCATCAGGATGTCCCCAGGGGGTTGTGAACTTGCTTTGCTGGGAGGTCTTATCCCTTGGCCAGGGGGCTGCTGGCACCCCAGCGGGGCACCAGCCCTCCCTGTGAAGGTGGTTGTGTTGCACGACTGAAGCCTGGTCCGGATTGGTGGTGGGCACAGCAGTGTTTTGGGTCGGGATGTGACCTGCAGCCAGTCCAGCCTTACTGCAGGGGTTGCCTGCCTCCCCCTCCTCTTCCTCCAGGGCTGGGGAGACGGGGCAGGTCAGGTCAGGTTGTCCTTCTGCAGAACCGCGAATTTCATTCTTCTTTTCCATTTATTCCCACCTCCTCTCCCACCCTCCTTCCATTTCTGTTTCCTCCTGCCCTCTCTCCATCCCTCTTTTCTCTTCTTCCTCCCTCCCAGGCTCCTCCGTCCGTGTGAAAGTTCATGTTCACTCTGTGCCAACACGGTTTTCTCAACCCACGCTTGTGTCCCCTCCCTGCCCAGAGTTGCCCAAAGGTGACAAATGTATTGGTGACCCCCTGGTCCCTGTGCAGGCCAAGGTGGGAGCAGGCTGGGGACCCTGATCAGCACCACAGGCTCCTCTCCATCAACCTGGGGGGGTGGGGGAAACAAGGAGGGGAAAGAAGCCAAGGTGAAGCCCTCTGAGGGTCCGGGTCTCCATCAATACATTTGTGGACAAGCTGAAAGCAACTCTGCCCCTGCCTTGCCCCTTTGGCTAAATTTGTGGCAGGACCCAGACCCGCAGTGGGTGTTGGAGAGCCAAGGAGGGTGGGTGAAACCAGCTTGCACCCCCTCCCCGGGAGGGGAAAGTCCTTTCTCCATCCCTTCTCCTCTGGGAAAGCTTCCTCTCCTGCTGCCTTGCCTGTTCCTGGAGGTTTCTGCACTGGAGAAACTCGGCTGAGGCTCTTGGGGAGGAACAGGCACCTGCCACAAATGCCCCATGTTCCCTCCATCACCCTCCGGCAGCAGCTGGCTGAGCCCCACCAGCCATGGGGGGCTGGGGAGGGGCCTGGGGGGGGTCCCAGCAGTGCCTCTGCCTTTGCTGGGGGTCCCGACAAAGCATTCCCTGGCGGTGGCACCGGCCAAAGCCATCCCTGACCCACATCCCCCTTGGTTGTGCCGGGGGGAGGATGAGGAAGGGGGGAGCTTTGCAGCCTAAATGGCCCCGGCGCGGGGTCAAATTCTTGCTCTGCTGCAAGGACTGCGACGGCCTCGTCCCCCCCCCCTCCTCGCCTGGTCCAAGGGGGCAGAATCCAGCCCCTGGGCTGAGCCCAGCCAAGGATGCTCTCTCCATCCTTTGGCCACCGCCTCTGTCCGTGCTGCTTGGAGCCCTGGGCAGGGACCCCACATGAGAGAGGCGATCCGGCCTCAGCATCTGCTGGGAAAACTGGGGGGCTGCCGCTCGCACCGGGGCTGGGGGCAGAGGAGGTGCAGAGTGGGGGCTTCGGGGCTGCCCACACTCCCCTGGGGCTGGAGGGAATAACTCCAGGGATGCAGAGCCCTGCCCTAAAGGAGTTGGAGGAGGATTGCCCTGGGGGATGCCAGGGTGCTGGGAAGAGCTCGGGAGGCTGAAGTGGTAAAGCCCACAGGGCTGTAACGGACCTTTGGTTGTTTCCTGGTTGTTTTGCAACGTTGGTTTTTGTTCGTTAGACTCAGGGCAGCTCCTTCCTTTCCTGGCTCCATCCCCTCCCCGTCAGCAGCCACCCGCCATCGGGACTCGGCCGCTCGGCGACGGAGACGGTTGGAGGCACGATCTGATACTGGTGGTGCTGGGCTGGCATCGCAGGGCTGGTTTGCATGCACTGGAAAAGTCCTTTATGGCAGAGGTTTCTTGCAGGTCTGGATGTAACCACATCCACGGGGCCAGCAAGAGCAGGAAGGACTTTTACTTTGGGGCCAGGTGCTGTTTTTCTTGAAAGCTTAAAAGAAAATCACCTTGACCAGAAACGATGATGATGATTATTATTGTTCCTCCCCCAATTTCTCTTGCGGGGAGAAAGACCGGTGGGTTGGTTGGGTCTTGCCCTCTCTGTAATGGATGATGGTGTGGGACGTGGTTCCTCAAGGAGGAAAGGTTTGCTCCTCCCCAGCGCTGTTGTGAAAGCTCTGCAGATTTCAATCTGGTGGGAAGGGGCTTTGGGAGGAGTTGAAAGGCCACATCCCGGGGGATTTTAGGACACGAGGTTTAAGTAAAACACACAGACCTGTGTCCTTAAGGGGATCCCGCTGAGCCCCGGGGTGTGCTGCGGGTCTTGGGGGCTGTCCCTGGGGCTCTGAGCATCCTCTGCCGGGCAGGGCAGGGTGGCACTGGAAAGAGAAGCTGGGGGAAGGCTGAAAAGGCTGGCAGCGAGGAGGGGAGGGTTGGGGAGCAGAAAAGCAGAAGTCTTCTGAGGGCTTTTGCTGGTTTAAGCCCGTGGCTGACGGGAGGTGTAAGCGATAGGGCAGCGGGGCGGGCGAGCGGTTGGGTTTCGCCGCGATGCTCTTCGGGAGCCGGTTTGCGCAGGGCAGGTCTGACGGCTGCTAACGGCACGGGGGTCACCACCCCCCCTCCTGCAGCCCATGGGGAGAAGAGGTGGGTGAGCAGAGGGTCAGGTCCCTCCTGTGGGGCTGGACCGTGTCCTTCTGCCCCAAACCCCACTCCTCAGCAGCCTCCCGAGGGTGCGCTGAGCTGAGCTGGGTCTCTGCACCGGAGCCCTGCGGTGACTTATGCAATGTCAAGCTTTTAATGGGATTTTGGTGCGTGTGTGTGTGTGTGTGTGTATAGGTGTGTGTGTGTATGTGTGGTCCTGTTTAATTCTCTGTTCCCTCTGGGATCTGCAGACTTAACATGTCTCGTTCTCCAGCCTTGAGCTCCCCATAAAAATCCAGTCAAAAAGGCAGCTGTCGCCTCCCATAAATCAGCAGGCAGCGGGTTTTTGTTGCTCCCTCTCTGGGAAAGCCTCAGCACTTGCCTTTGGCCTTGGGGGTTGCATGGCCCCCCCACGGGGCTCAGAGCTGCCCCCCACCCCTGCCCACAGGGCTTAACCTCGCTGGTGTGAGAAGCCACCTCGCTTTTGGGGTGCACCCCCTTCCTAAGGGCGCCACGTGGCATCTGATTGTTTGGGTTGGTGGGACACAAGCAGGTCCCGAGCTCTGCCCATCGCCCTGCTCCAGTTGGAGGGTGCTGCTGGAACCAGGAGCCTGCAGCCGGAGAGGAGGCGTGTGGGGGCCTGGCTCCCCCCGCGCCACGAGCATGCCCACCCCTCGGTTCCCCTTGGCACGAAACCCCTGGGGGGGCACCACGCATGATGGCCCCCTCACACCATGCCTAGGGGTGGTGGCTCCCCGTCCTTGTCCCAGACCTGTTTGCAGGCGGTGAGCCCCCCCCGACCCCCACGGTCACCCCGTTTGCACGCTCGTGTGCATGTGTGTGTCCCCCCCGCCCCGGTGCCGCCTCCGCTCCCACCTTCACCATGTGCCTTCTGGTCTCTCCTGCCACGCAGCCGCCGCGCCGGACTCCTGCCCCATTAACATTGAGGAATAGGTATGAGACCCCCACAGCCTGCGCCCACCTCGTGCCCCATCACCCCCGGGGGGGGGTGGAAAGGGGGGGATTGGCACCCCTCGTCCCAGCATTGCTGGTGGTCCCCTTGCTCTCCTGGCCAGGGTGACATCCCTTAGTGCCCAACCTGCAGCCCCCACAGGGCATCCGCATGTGCCTTCTCGCTGGGCATTGGGGAGGGGGGGGGCAGAAGCAGCCCCCTTCTCTGTGGGTTGTCAGAATCTGGCCACCGTGCACCGTTCTTCCCATTTTCCCCTAGGCACTCCCAATATTCTCGCTGGGCATTGGGGAGGGGGGGGCAGAGGCAGCCCCCTTCTCTGTGGGTTGTCAGAACCTGGCCACCATGCACCGTTCTTCCCATTTGCCCCTCGGCATTCCCAAGAAATTGGGGGTTTAAGGGGCTCCCCCAGCTTGGAGAGGTAAGTGCAGGTGCTCTCCAGCCCTTACTGCAGCCAAAACCCTAAAAGTGGGGGGGGGAGAGGTGAAGAGGTGGGTGTTATTTAGGGAAACTGAGTTGCATCCCCCGGTGGAAAGATGAACCAACCATGCTGCTGGGCTTTGGGACCCCCTAACCCCCCCACTGTTTTCTCCCTCCAGGCCTGGAGGCAGCCAACAACAACGTGCGGCTCCCGGGGCAGGCACCCTGGCCCCGCCACCCCCCCGGTACCCGAGACCTGGAGCAGGCAGCAGCCCCCCTGCCCGTGTGAGGGCTCAACCTCGGTGGGGGCACACAATCCCCCCTCTCTCCCAACCCCCATCTGGAGGGACCCGGGCACCGCGGGCATCACCACCTCCATCCCCGGGCTGTAGCACCACTGATTCTTCGAAAGAAAAGGCGGTAACCTCGACTTGTCCTCCCCGGCCCCCCCTGTGCAGGGGGGGGCAAGAGCCACGTCACCTCGGAGCCCCTCCATCAGCACCTTCCCATCCTCTGACTGACCCTGATAGGGACGGGTTGGGGTCCCCTCCTGTCCCCCACCCACCTCACACCCCCAGGGGGGCTCCTCTCCTCCGGCGTGCAGAGCGGCACCCGGTGGGATGGGATGGGGTCACCCCACAAAAGGGATGTGGCCGAAGGGGCACAATGGGGTGAGGGTGGCATTGGCATCCTCGGTGCATGAACTGGTGACCTTCATGGGGGGCCGGTCCCCTCCCCACCAGGTTTGCCAGCCCATGCCCCTGCCATGCCATGGGGTGTCCCCATGCCGTGCTGTGGACTGTCCCCATAAGTGCACTGGTGGTGATGGTGGCCCCCCCAGCTCCCCCTCCCTCCGCTCTCCTCCTGGGCAGCACGTTGGCTCTTGAGCAAGGTTGCTTTTCCCCAGGGATGGAGCTGGGTGGCAGGGGTGGGCAGGGGACCTGGTTGTCCCCCTTCCCTCACCAGCCCCCGGGGCATCACTAGTTTAACCTCACTGTCTTCCGCCCCGCTGTGAGCTCGGGGCTCGGGGCTGTGCCCTCTCTCCAGAACAAGTGCCAAAAGTGTCACCCCCACCGTCCTGCCCTCTCCATCGCACTTTGTAGCAGGGGGTGGATGAGGGTGTGGGAGCTGCCCCCCAACCCCTCCGTCCCCATCCCTCCATCCCCACCCCTCTGGCCAGCGCTGGGCTGACAGCATAAGCAGGTTTTGCTCAAGGGGACAGGACCCAGGGACACTGATGGGGTAGGGACGCAGCCACAGACCCTTGAGGACCTGATGGGGCTGCTGGTGGAGGCCTGTCTCCACTGCAGAGAGCACCAGGGAGAACCAGAAGCCGTTTTGAGGAGCATCAGACCCAGCTTCCCAATCTATCGAGCTCTGGAGCTGTTTGGGCCAGCCCAAGGAGGAGACACTGAGCCCTCTCTTTCCCCCCACCTGGTTTTTTCAGCAGCACGAGCCAGGAGAGAGCCCCCAAGGCAGATGTCAAAGCAAAAGCCACCTCCTCCTCGCAGGAGAAAAACATGTTTTGGTGCTACCTTAGGGCAGAGATGTTCATATGGTGAAAGCAACACCCCGCAGTGGCTGCAGGGAGCATGTCCCCACCACCTGTCCCCATGGTGGGGCATGGGTTCTGCCAATGGCCATGGCTTCTAAAGGGGGTAAAGACCTTTACGGGGCCAGGGGATGGTTTTTTCCACCTGGTTCATGGCGGGGGCTGTGGTAGGTGCTTGCTCCAGGGGGGTCAGTGTTGGCCACCCTGCTGCTCCCTCCTCCGGGTTTCCTCCACCCTGACATATCTCCCTTCGGCTCAATAGCTCCCAAATTTCTCCCTGGAACTGGGTGCTTTATGAGGGGGGTGACATCTCTAAACTGCCATCCTGTGGGGTGGGAGCTGCTAACAGCAGAAAGGGCTGGAGCAGCAGGGGACAAGCCTTGTGCCCTGCTCGGGGACATGCTGCCTTGGTGGGGGGAGGCTACCCAAAGGTCTGGGTGTCCTGGCCCCAAGGAGCCACCAGCACCACGCTGGAAGAGCTTTGGGGGCTCACCATCATGCTGAGCTGAGAAAACCAGGGTGGGCAGCGGGAAGCCAGCTGCTCCTGCACCTTTGGGCATGGGCAGGAGAGGGGAAAAATCAGGCTGATGCTCCAAGAGTGGCTTGTTGGTCAAAGCCCACCCTTCCTCGCAGCTTCAAAGGGGACAACAAGAGCTCTCCAGGCCTCACGGCGTCGGGGCTGCAATGGTGCTCGTGGCTACTGGCAGGTAAGGGCAGAATAGGCAGGTCCTTGCTCAGGAGGGTCCCGAGAGGTGACGGGGAGGGTTTTCCAGCTGGTCTGTGGTGTCCCCAAGGCTGCAGGAGCAGCCTGGCGAGCTCACGGGGTGGCTGCTGGTGAGCAGGAGGTGATAGAGAGGAGCGGGGAAGATGCCACCGTGGTGTGAGCAAAGAAATAAGCCTCCTCCGCCACGGCACAGGAGAGATGGGATTTTGGTGTGGGTGACACCAGCGCCGACCTCAGCCACCCAGAAGGGACGAGGGGCGGACGGGAGCTGCCGGTGCCGGCAGCGTGGGGTGACAGGCAATGTCCCCCTCTTTCAAGGGGCAGCCCCTTGTTCCAGCGATCCACCGTCAGGGATTTAAGGAAGGAAACCAGATTGCTGCTTATGACTCTGCTTTAAGCATGTTTTGGATTTCAAGAGTATGTTTAATAAAGGGTATCTTACGTCGACAAAGCGTCCGGAGTCGTTTTGCGGTTACACGGCGAGGGCAGTTGGGGTCTTGGGGGCTCGGTGGGTGGAAATGTGGGGGCATCCCCCCCACCCATCGCCCAGGCACCTCCCCAAAACCAGCCCAGCTGCTGCAGATCTTCTAAACGCTTCCCAAGGTCCTTCTAACCCACACTACCCCACCATCCTAAATCCAGCCTCCTCCGAGCCCTGCCGGGATGGAGAAGGTACAAATGCAGGAAGAACCTGGCCTGGGGTAGTGGCATCTCCCCAGATGGCACCTCCATCAGCACCTTCCCATCCTCTGACTGACCCTGATAGGGACGGGTTGGGGTCCCCTCCTGTCCCCCACCCACCTCACACCCCCAGGGGGGCTCCTCTCCTCCGGCGTGCAGAGCGGCACCCGGTGGGATGGGATGGGGTCACCCCACAAAAGGGATGTGGCCGAAGGGGCACAATGGGGTGAGGGTGGCATTGGCATCCTCGGTGCATGAACTGGTGACCTTCATGGGGGGCCGGTCCCCTCCCCACCAGGTTTGCCAGCCCATGCCCCTGCCATGCCATGGGGTGTCCCCATGCCGTGCTGTGGACTGTCCCCATAAGTGCACTGGTGGTGATGGTGGCCCCCCCAGCTCCCCCTCCCTCCGCTCTCCTCCTGGGCAGCACGTTGGCTCTTGAGCAAGGTTGCTTTTCCCCAGGGATGGAGCTGGGTGGCAGGGGTGGGCAGGGGACCTGGTTGTCCCCCTTCCCTCACCAGCCCCCGGGGCATCACTAGTTTAACCTCACTGTCTTCCGCCCCGCTGTGAGCTCGGGGCTCGGGGCTGTGCCCTCTCTCCGGAACAAGTGCCAAAAGTGTCACCCCACCGTCCTGCCCTCTCCATCGCACTTTGTAGCAGGGGGTGGATGAGGGTGTGGGAGCTGCCCCCCAACCCCTCCGTCCCCATCCCTCCATCCCCACCCCTCTGGCCAGCGCTGGGCTGACAGCATAAGCAGGTTTTGCTCAAGGGGACAGGACCCAGGGACACTGATGGGGTAGGGATGCAGCCACAGACCCTTGAGGACCTGATGGGGCTGCTGGTGGAGGCCTGTCTCCACTGCAGAGAGCACCAGGGAGAACCAGAAGCCGTTTTGAGGAGCATCAGACCCAGCTTCCCAATCTATCGAGCTCTGGAGCTGTTTGGGCCAGCCCAAGGAGGAGACACTGAGCCCTCTCTTTCCCCCCACCTGGTTTTTTCAGCAGCACGAGCCAGGAGAGAGCCCCCAAGGCAGATGTCAAAGCAAAAGCCACCTCCTCCTCGCAGGAGAAAAACATGTTTTGGTGCTACCTTAGGGCAGAGATGTTCATATGGTGAAAGCAACACCCCGCAGTGGCTGCAGGGAGCATGTCCCCACCACCTGTCCCCATGGTGGGGCATGGGTTCTGCCAATGGCCATGGCTTCTAAAGGGGGTAAAGACCTTTACGGGGCCAGGGGATGGTTTTTTCCACCTGGTTCATGGCGGGGGCTGTGGTAGGTGCTTGCTCCAGGGGGGTCAGTGTTGGCCACCCTGCTGCTCCCTCCTCCGGGTTTCCTCCACCCTGACATATCTCCCTTCGGCTCAATAGCTCCCAAATTTCTCCCTGGAACTGGGTGCTTTATGAGGGGGGTGACATCTCTAAACTGCCATCCTGTGGGGTGGGAGCTGCTAACAGCAGAAAGGGCTGGAGCAGCAGGGGACAAGCCTTGTGCCCTGCTCGGGGACATGCTGCCTTGGTGGGGGGAGGCTACCCAAAGGTCTGGGTGTCCTGGCCCCAAGGAGCCACCAGCACCACGCTGGAAGAGCTTTGGGGGCTCACCATCATGCTGAGCTGAGAAAACCAGGGTGGGCAGCGGGAAGCCAGCTGCTCCTGCACCTTTGGGCATGGGCAGGAGAGGGGAAAAATCAGGCTGATGCTCCAAGAGTGGCTTGTTGGTCAAAGCCCACCCTTCCTCGCAGCTTCAAAGGGGACAACAAGAGCTCTCCAGGCCTCACGGCGTCGGGGCTGCAATGGTGCTCGTGGCTACTGGCAGGTAAGGGCAGAATAGGCAGGTCCTTGCTCAGGAGGGTCCTGAGAAGTGACCGGGAGGGTTTTCCAGCTGTTCTGTGGTGTCCTCAAGGCTGCAGGAGCAGCCTGGTGAGCTCACGGGGTGGCTGCTGGTGAGCAGGAGGTGATAGAGAGGAGCGGGGAAGATGCCACCGTGGTGTGAGCAAAGAAATAAGCCTCCTCCGCCACGGCACAGGAGAGATGGGATTTTGGTGTGGGTGACACCAGCGCCGACCTCAGCCACCCAGAAGGGACGAGGGGCGGACGGGAGCTGCCGGTGCCGGCAGCGTGGGGTGACAGGCAATGTCCCCCTCTTTCAAGGGGCAGCCCCTTGTTCCAGCGATCCACCGTCAGGGATTTAAGGAAGGAAACCAGATTGCTGCTTATGACTCTGCTTTAAGCATGTTTTGGATTTCAAGAGTATGTTTAATAAAGGGTATCTTACGTCGACAAAGCGTCCGGAGTCGTTTTGCGGTTACACGGCGAGGGCAGTTGGGGTCTTGGGGGCTCGGTGGGTGGAAATGTGGGGGCATCCCCCCCACCCATCGCCCAGGCACCTCCCCAAAACCAGCCCAGCTGCTGCAGATCTTCTAAACGCTTCCCAAGGTCCTTCTAACCCACACTACCCCACCATCCTAAATCCAGCCTCCTCCGAGCCCTGCCAGGATGGAGAAGGTGCAAATGCAGGAAGAACCTGGCCTGGGGTGGTGGCATCTGCCCAGATGGCATGAGCTTAGCAGTCCTTGGCAGTGCTGGGATGGATGAGGACACCCAGAGGGGACCTTCCCTGGAGGAGAAGAGGGAGAAGAGGAGCACAGAGGAGCTGGGTGCTCATGCAGGAGAAATCCCTCCGGTGCTGGGGAAGAAAACTCGTGCTGGGAGCTGATGTCTTGAAGGTGAGGAGGGCTGCAAGGGGGGCTTGTAATTTGGTTTTCATGGAGGAGGTTGATGCATTGTTGGGGGCAGCACCTCCCAGCTGTGGATGGAGAGAGGGATCATGGATGGCTGGGTCCTGCAAAGGGGGAGGGTGGGAAAACTAAGGCCTGAAGGTCTTTGCCCCAGGCTTGAGGAAGCCCAGGGCTGTGCTGGAGACCAGCCCTGGAGCTCTCACTGCCTTGGGGTGTGTTTTTGCAGGGGCAGGTTCTACTCCTGAGGGAGCTGAGTTGTTAGAAGGGCAGAAAACTGAGGGTTTGGGGTTGTTTTGTGGGTATGGGTCTGCTGAAAAGCAAAATAGAGATTTCCACTCCCCTGGGAGCTGTCTCCTCCCTCCTCCACACCCAGTCCCAGCACCCATCGCCTCCCGGCCTGTGGCCACTGGGGACGGGCACGAGCAAAGGGGCACCTGCCCCTGTGCTGGGGAGGGGGTCTAGCCCCCCCCAAACCTGTCTCACCCAAATCCCTGGAGATCCTGGCAGGAAAATCCCTCCCTGTACCCACCCCTTTGGGCAGTGGTGACCCTCCAGAGCGGGTCCAGCCTCTCACCTGCCCCTTGATCTCTAATGCTGGAGACCAGCCCTGGAGCTCTCACTGCCTTGGGGTGTGTTTTTGCAGGGGCAGGTTCTACTCCTGAGGGAGCTGAGTTGTTAGAAGGGCAGAAAACTGAGGGTTTGGGGTTGTTTTGTGGGTATGGGTCTGCTGAAAAGCAAAATAGAGATTTCCACTCCCCTGGGAGCTGCCTCCTCCCTCCTCCACACCCAGTCCCAGCACCCGTCACCTCCCGGCCTGTGGCCACTGGGGCGGGCACAAGCAAAGGGCACCTGCCCCTGTGCTGGGGAGGGGTTCTAGCCCCCCCCCAACCTGTTTCACCCTAACCCCTGGAGATGCTGGCAGGAAAATCCCTCACTGTACCCACCCCTTCAGGCAGCAGCGACCCTCCAGAGCGGGTCCAGTTGCTCACCTGCCCCTTGATCTCTAATGTCCTTCCTCTGCAGGGCAGGCACGGGGGGAGTTCCTGGCGATTAAACCTCCCTGAGGCACCCCAGAGTCCCCCCCCACCACCAACAAGGGCTGTGGGGTGAAAGCAAACAGGCTTCCCTTGGGTTTCATGGCTGCTCTCAGCCCCCTTGGTCGGGGGGGATCCCTCACTGGTCTCTGTTAAAGCCCTTGGGTTGGCAGTCGGGGGGGTCAGGGATTTCTTATAGGGGCGTGGGGCTGTAATGCTTTTAATTACATACAGGCAGACCCCATTCTTTAATTTGGGGGTCTGCCACCCCCTTTCCTTCCCCTGAATTGCTGTGGGCTCAGGGCGGGGGGGTGTCAGGGATTTCTTATAGGTGCGTGGGGCTGTAATGCTTTTAATTACAGACCCCACTCTTTAATGTGGGGGTCTGCCACCCCCCTTCCTTCCTCTTGAGGCTTTCCCCGAGTTGCTGTGGGCTCCTCAAGGGTCCAAAGTGGAGTGTGGGGGGGGCACAGGTAGGAAAGGGCTGGG